GCTAAGTCTCTTAACAGTTGTATTTGCTTATCACACTTATAAGTGATTTGCAATATACATACAACCGGGTTGTAAGCTATTTAACAACATGCTTGTAATTTCTATAAACACTTACAAAGCCACGGTTCTTCCCAGTAGACTGTACAACAACAGCAGCCGTATCGAATCACATGCAGGTCGGTGGTTTGAGGCTCTGCTCCAAAGGCTTCAGGCTGGTGAGAACAAGGGAAGACCGATACATCACGTTGAAGTGCCGCGGTGCACTTGGCTGCTTCAGGGTTGGGGATGCGAAACGAGCTTTCGGAAGCTTTCGTCCTGCTGCTGGGTAAGGACAGAGAGCCTGATGGAATGCCATTCAGCGGTTCAGCTCTATACAGGAATGCCGAATGTAGATGCTCAGAATCTGTAGGGGGTTGTCGCCATTTACGGTGGCTTCGGTATCAGAAAAGAAAAAGAATCCCGTAAGCCAGGATTTTCGAACATGCCTTCCTGAGGTCCTTGAACTTCGAGGTGCAGACACTCCAGGCTAGCGTGTGATTGTTTGAGGGTTTGGGCTTAAGGCTTGCGGTTCTAGGATGTCCTAGAAAATTCAGGAATTTGGGCTGCAGGGCATGGCTTTTCCCATGCATAGGCGAGTGTTCGAGAACGCAGGAGCGCCTCCAGCCCAAAGAGAAGAGGTGATGAGGTGACACCGCACGATGTGGGTGGTTGTCAGAATTATGGTCCCTTTTGGGGTACCCTAAATAATAGGTGCCGTATTATAATAAGGACCCAAAAGGGATCCTAATTTTGACAACCACCCATGTAGCAACCCTCTTCATGTTGCCAAACCAGCTTGGCTTTGCAGCCGGTGAGACAAACTTCTGGGAATAGACCAGTTCCTCGAAGCAGCCGTCTCTCCTGCGCCCCGGGAAACTTGACTCAGAGCTGCATTTTGCTTCGGTTCTATGCTTCAACAAGTCAGAATTCGATTCACGCGCATGAATGTTTGCAGCCTGAAGCTCTGAAGCCCTGGGTTGTGAGTGCAGGAACTCCACCTGGCAGTCGGCGAGGTCGGCGAGACGGTGATGGAGGTACAAAGCCAGAGCTGTGGGAGAATTCAGAGTTTGGCGTCCCTTGAACTTGGACCTGGGTCTGGTCGGCTTAGAGTCTCAGAGTTCGTGTACACTTTTTTTACTGACTGCGATGAGTCTGCTCATTCTGTTGATGGCTCTGCCTTCCACTGTGACTCCCACTGCCGGAGTGATACATCATACTCGCCATATTTACTGTCTCTCAGTATCCCCATCGTTTCGTCTTGCTCTAACTTCACGCATAGAATGCTTCGAGCTGAGGTGGCTGGGCACTTTATGAAGCAGGGCTACCGGGTTGCGGCTGTCAATGCAGCCTCTGCCTACCAGGTGCCCGCTTTTCTTTATGTCTGTCTTTATGCATGTATTTGCTTTTCTTTGAGGGGGGTTGGGCTGGCCCTTCTCCAGCAAATGCCTGTTGAGAAACCGTCCAACAGTACCGTCTCAATAGCGGGAAATATGGCAAGCATTGTTATTGCTAGTATCAACAGGATACGAGTAATCTTGCATAGTGCATGATGGTGCTGATGGTCGCGATGCTGGTGCTGCCCATGGAGGTGGTGATGGATTGATGATGATGGTGGTGATGACGCTGATGGTGATGCTGTTGGCTCCGACGATGATGATGTTATGATGGTATGGGAGTTTCCTGATCTCACCGGCGTCTCTTCACAGTCCACGCCCTGCTTTGAAAGTCTTGTCGCGCTCTGCATCGCATACCCTTCATCATAGCACCCTCGCAGTCGCCAGGCAAAGGGGGCGGTGGAGTCTGGAGTAGAGCATACATGACTGTAGTCTTGAACTCTGCAAGCAGGCGAAACTGCCAAAACTGCAGACTCTAGCTTGGCATCCTGCGCAGAGCCCCAGCACTCACGAGGTAGGTGGTGGCGCAAGCACTGGTGGACGTCATGCTTTAGAGGAGGCCGGATTTCTCGTATTGCAATGCTGCTTACTTTCTTGGTAACTACTTGTTCGTTGCAACGCACTGGGTCGGCTTACTGCCGGCTTCATTTTTTGTGCTCAGCTGTCATGCTCTTAACACAGCTAAACCCTAAACCCGAAAATCAAAATGCAAAACTAAGCCAGGCCTGGTGCATTAGCTCGACCCTCTACCAGTCTTTGGCCTCGGTGGAGCCTCAGAAAACAGGTGCGACAAGTAAGGGTTTTGGGTTTTGGGGCTTAGGGTCTCTGTGTGGAGCTAAAGAATTTGAGGTCCCGGCGGGTTTGAGTATTTGGCTCTTTCGGGGCTTGGGTTGCTCAGTATTATGGTGTTAAGGCTTGATGTTCCGGCTGTAGCATGTGGGTACTGAAGAGTTTCTATCTTGTGTGGGTCTGGATGCTTGTTGCGCGAGGTCTACTTGATTGACGTGTTGTTGCTTAGATTGTGTACACCTTTCCGATTCTGATGATTTATACGTAGTCTTAAAGATCCTTTTGATAATGCACTATAACAGCTAGTACTCTCACTACGGCTATTCGTACTACGAATACTGTACGCATCCACTATGCCAGAAGCCAGAAAGTTGGAACGGCGCTATGCCACTAGTACTTCCTACTCCTACTTTCCACTCCCATTCCCTATGTCTGCTCCTAATCCGACGAGTCCAAAACTACCACTACTACCACTACCGCCTCTACCACCAGTACCGCTACAGTACCACTGCCACTAAGTACTAGAGTACTACTACTGTTGATCGTACCGGTACACTAGTGCTAGTACGCGAGTACGAGAACACACGATGCAGTGCTAGTACTGAGCCCGGACATGGTTGGGAGGGGATGCGACGACGACTGCTACTACCACCACTTTACTTCCACTACTAACACGTCTACCACTGCTACTAATGCTGTGGCTGTGTTGCTGCTGCCAGTACTACGACTACTGAGACAAGTACGGTTACGACGAGTATACGACTACTTCCACTCTCGCGACGACCACGGCTTCTACGATCCTGACTACTACCACTACTACCACTACGACTGCTGCTGCTCTGCGTTGCTGCTCCCCCTCCTCCTTCTGCTCCTCCTCGGCCTCGTTTTCCTGCTGCACATGCTCCTGCTGCTAGGCTGATGCAAATGTTGCAACAACTTGAAGCTAGCACGAGCCCTGAAGAGTTCTGCCCATGACCTGACACGTGCCAAAAACGGCTGCCGTCGCCCATCAGGGGGCCTTCCGGGCTACCGGCAGCATATCCCTGTTGCTGGGTGGGCACCTGAGTCTGTCAAGGGCGCACATAGCGCTTGCATGGAGAGTCGTTGCTGAAGGCATCTCGGTTTTCGGTCTTGCATGCTCCTTGCACAAGTGTTGTCCGATCGGGACATGAAAGCGTGTCCGTGTGATTGAAGAGTTCATACCAACTCCTCTTGGACACTCTACGTTTTTTGTTCGTAGTGTACATATCCAGTGCCGGGATTCAAGGTGCTAGTCACCCCAGGTGCCATGCAAGGCGAAGGCCTGCCTTCTTACCAGAACCACCGGACCCCAAGACCTTCAACCACCAGGTGCATTGTTTCTCCTCACGTGGAGGTCTTCCGGGAGCCCACAGGCCTTGGGGAGCATGTGGTGTCTACTGCTTTACGGTTTTGGAGTTCCGGGTTGGAGGATTGCAGTTTAGGCATGGCTTTGGACAGTTGTGTCGTTTTGTGCCTGCAATGATCATGAATGCTGATGGCCATCAAGTTTGCGGGTCAAAGTTGCCCTCTTCTTCAAGGACCCTATCGACGCTGTCATCCCAGCCCCTCCGTGTCTGCCAGCTGTGCAGCTACACAGTCTGATCTACATCAGCTTGTCCGCATCGGTTTCAATGGAAGGGTCTTCTGCAGTCTGGGCAAATCTAAAGCCTGAGAACTCGAAACGCCGAGCTGCCGGAGCTCAAATTAATCCAGAAACCATAAGCTGGAAAATCCCCTTGCAGACGATGGCTACGGCTTTCTTGATGCACCGCAGCCGCTGACTGGTGTCGTCTCCGTGGCCATGCGCTGGCACCCAGCGGAGGGGGGCACAGCGGGGCACGGTACTGATCTATGAAATACTGTCTCCACCTCGTTGTTGTCATCGCGTTTTCAGTATCGTTCAGCGCAGTACAGCTGTCATCAGCATCAGTGTGCCTCACTCTGCATATTTAACCTTTTCTCGTCCTGCAATATCAGAAGAACCTAGGTCTGGATGTTTGTGTGCATCTTCGTCAGCAGGGTTTGTGATCATGATTTTCGGAAGTTCTCACTTAAAAAAACTGCGTCTGTCCAGGTTCAATCGGAACCCGCGTGTGCGGGACAGTCCCTTAGACAGCCCAGAGCGGCCGGCGGAGTACCTGAAGCAGACTCGCCAGAAACTTGAGGCACAAATCCGTTTGTGGGTTCAATGTGCCCTCTAAAATTTGGCAGCTTGGGGCTTTCCAGGGTTGAGGGTTAAGTGAGGGTCTCGGGTTCAGCAATGCTCAATGAACTTTGGGTTTAGTCTATCTTGGAGTACAGCTGAGTGCAGGGTATGTGCTTTTAGTGGGTTTATTGTTTTTGCTTGTCATTATCTCAAGTTGGCATCTACATGACATGAGCCCAGAAGCTCCACAGAGAACCTGAGCCCGGCGTATGATCATGAGCTCTCTGAAGCTTCACTGACGTCTCAGATGAGCTTGAGTTGTTCGAGGGGGTATAGAGCTCGTGGTATCAAGGAGTCTCGGTTGCTTTATCCGGGAATCCGGGTGCCCCAAGATCCCGCTCCCGTGTTCCCTGCCTTTTCGGCGAGATCGGAGCTTCAAGAAAAGAAAGGCCAAGCACAAGTGCAGGCGAAAGCTTAAATCCTGGAAGGCTGCCCGCAACAGCCTCGTAAACCCAAAGCGCCTGAAGAATGCCAATCCCGCTTGGCGGTTGACGATTGGTCAAAACGTCAGGCGGGCTTTAGTTTCAGGGCCCACCCCGAGCCGGGAAGAGTTCGGTTCGTAAACTAGCAATATTGATATCGCCTTCTACTCTAGTCCCTATGTAATTATACTTGCATCATCCTCATATTTTACTCCCAAAAAACCCCTTCCTGACACCGGCAGCTCTAGCACCGTCGTGGAATCGTTTGCCCCCAAACACTCTCCCCACGCAAAAGACGCTCCCTTTAAGGGCCCCTCCTGATCCCTCAAACTTTGGGAGTTTCCGAAGATTAGGGGTACGTTATTTTGGGGTCCTTATATTAAGGATCCTATTATTTAGGGTATAATATTAGGGTCCCCTGTTTTCGGAAACCCCCCATTTGTGACTCGAATCTTTTTTCAGCTGCAATGTGTGGTAACCACTGAATCTCCGACCCAGGGCTGTTCTGGCTCCTATTACCCTTTACCCTAAATCGTAAACGTCCCCCACTCATTCCTCTCAGTCCTAGCAGGCAAGCGTATAGACCATAAACGGTTGAGTTATTCAGATTCGGTAGTCCTGCAGCTGGCCCTGAGCCCAGCAGGCCGCCCTTTTGGCCTCGGTGGAGGCACCGTCCGGACATGACTTGGGATCTTGGGCTGGGGTTGTGGGCCTTGTGGGCTGGAGTGCAGGGTCGTCTGACTGTCGTTTCGTCTCTCGGGGGTGGCGGATTGGTTTACGGTTCCAAGCTCTGTGGTGTAGGGAGGGCTCCAGGGCTTCGGCAGTGTCTTGGGCGGGGGTCTGAGGCGGCCGAGGGTTTCGGTGTGGAGAGTCTACGGCGCAGTCTACGGCCCTTTGCCCGGCGGGGGAAGGAGCAAAATGGAGATTGTAAGGTAAAGTCTTGCTTACGACCCCTCTTAAGACTTGCCTAACAAAGTACAGCAAGGCCGGTTGAGATGAATGTCGTTGAGGTTGAGGGAAGTGATGTTCGCCTTAGCCTAACTTGATAATCTAGGACTCAAGTAATATGGGTTTCGTGCTCAACCTTGGCATGTCAGGAGTTGGTAAGTTTTGATGATCGAGCGTCTTGATGGCCTGAAGCGACCTCCCAAGTCTTTCTTCAGTTTGCAGGTTGCCTTTTCCCCATTTTGTTAGCTGACTGCCTCACGGACTTGCCAGGTCTTGAATGCCGAGATTATCATCGTTCCCGATGTGGGTTGCGGTGTTTTTGGCAATGACCCATACATCATTGGCGGCTGCGCTGTCCTCAGATGGCTGACGATCATTCTTCCCAACGCTCTGCATCAGACTTGCGACAAGTAGGATCCTTGTATTGCATGTTTGCTCAAGCGGAACATCAATCGGAGCATCTGACGATAATTAGTTCGTGGCCTTCGGTACGCTAATAACCTCAAAATGGTCAGCCAAGCAGAGGTGTAGTTAAGCTGGCACATCGCGCCGTACATATGCGACTGCTGCACGGGCTTGTGATTGTGATGTATCCGGGTCTGAAAACCCGAAACCCAAACCCTGCAAGCACAGCAAATCTGAAACAAGTCCGGTGCGAGAAGTAGTAGTCATAGCCACAGCACGGAGAATTATCAATAGGCACAAAGATAACGACAGTGGTGCTCATCTTCGCCGCTCAACAGCGATACAACACGAGATTGATCAGCAGCAGTTGTGCAACACTGACGAGTACGATGCCAATCGCAGTGTTGCTTACAATAGTTCGAGCCCGAAGAAGGGAACAACATCATGCCACTTTTTGGTCGCCGCACTTCTGGTGCATTGTCTCACTGCAGCTGGCTACCGATGATAGGGAAACAAACGAACTTCTGTATGCCAAAAGCGCAACGGTAACGGCACCGGCGGTGGTAGTGCTGATGCTGGTGACGGTGCCGTGCCGGTGCTGGTGCTGGTGCTGGTGCTGGTGGTGGTGGTGGTGGAAAGGAGGAGGAGGACGAGGGTAGGCAGCAGCAGCAGCAGCAGCAGCATCAGCAGCAGTTGTTGTCCTCGCGACTGCAAGTTGTGCTGGTCTGAAAAGCTTGCGGGCGTAGCAGTGCGCGGTGATGTATGTGACTTGGTGAAAAGTATTATGTTGCTGTTGTTGTTGTTGGTGGTGGTGGTGTTGATGTTGGTGTTGGTGTTGGAATTGGTGTTGGTGGTGGTGGTGGTGGTGGTGGTGGTGGTGGTGTTGTTGTTGGTGGTGGTGGTGGTGGCGGTGGCGGCGGCGGCGGTGGTGCTGTTGCTGTTGCTGTTGC